CAGGCACAGGGGTGTGCAGCAGGGGCTTCTTTGAACACAGGCAACCAGGAGCACATGAGCTGATCCCAAACTTCAGCGTGAAGGTCTGCTGGTGAGGAAGCCCCCAGGGAAGGCTTCACAGTGGAAGCTTAAAGGAGCACACAAAAGAGGAAAGACATCAGAGCATGCTCTAGCAGCAGCCCCCAAGGCTTCCTGGACACCAGCCCATGCTCTAAGCAACAGCCACAACTACTCAAATCGTCTCCAGGGGATGAAGAGCTTCATGTTTCCAAACTCTCCTAGCACTGGAAAAAAAGCACCAACCCAAGAGCTCTGCTACCCTACCCACACTTCTCAGAAAAGGCAAAGAAACCCTGTAAAAAAGCGTGGGGAATGAATCCAAGCACACTGCAGAGTTGGGCTGAGTTAGAGGCCGCTGAGCACAGAAAGGCTCCCAACCTACTTCATCTTCTGCAGAACAGGTCCCAGGCGCAGCAGCTGGAAAAATGAACCCAGCCACATTCAGACCCCAGGCAGGAGCTCTGGCCACACTTCTCTACCTGAAGGAGCACTTCCAAGGATGCACAGCCCAGAGTTCTCACTAGAGTTGCTCCCCCAACTCCAAAGGGGTTCAAAGCCTTCACTGAGATGCATGGGTCTACTCACAGCAGTCTCTGGCCAGGAGGAGTGTGGGTTAGCTGGGTGGGACCTTAGCCAAGGTCCATGCCCACACCCCCCAGTGTTCCCAGGAACAGCTCAATATGGTCACTGAAAAATTAAAAGCTTGGCTTTGAGTAAGGCTGGTCATAAGCTGGGCACCAAGTAGCCTTCAGAGAGACCATGGCACTGCCAGCGTTCAGGAGAAATGTAGAGAGCCTGTGCTCCAAAGCTTACAGGAGCCAGAACCCCCAAATTTCTCCATGAAAGAATGGCAAAACCTCTGCGGAGAGAAGGGAAACAGCTCGATGATAGTCTTCAGTTTTGAGCTTTCCTCTTGGTTACAAACAAGCCGGTAGCCAAGGCAACCTCACAGATGTGCGAGCTGGCACGCCAGCACAGCAAGCCCTGCTCCCTCTGCTTGGCAAGACGGCAGCTCCCCAGGGATGGGCACTCTCAAGACAGGGGGAATACTCATTCTGTTGAGAAGCCTCAACAGAATTGGTCCCACCACCACACACCATGTTTAAACCTGCCCAGGGAGATGTCACCAAACCTAAATGTGGCCTCCTCGGCCAAGGAGCAGGCAGGCACCACCACTAGCACACCTAGAAGGCAACGCAGATGGGTGCAACAGGGATCAGTGACTCATCAGCCACAAAGGCTTAAGTTCATGGTTCAAAAGAGCACTGTGAAGGTGCAAGGTGAGTTAATTACGGTCATGGGCTGGAAGACAAGAACGCTAACGCAATGATCACAGCAGGATGGCAGCAATAAGACATCAGGTATGTGAGGCCCTGGCTTGAGCTCCATGCAGTGTCCTGGGACTCTCCCACACCCATTTCGGAGCTGCCCAGCTTAATGATAAGAAACAAGGGAAGAGCAGCAAGGGAAATCCCAATTAGACATATGGAAAAAAATGAATATTCTTCACCTTGAGGGTGGTCAAAAACTGCAGTAAGGGCTCAGTTCTCTATGTGGGTACACCACAATTTCAGCTGGACACAGAAGCTTGACCCAACTGCAAAGCTGTCTCTGACTCCAGGCTTGGCTCTGTTCTGAGAGAAGGCTTCACCAAAGACCCCCATATGCCCCTCCTAACTTAAACTGGTCTCTGTTTTCATGCTCAGACATAATCTTGCTTGCTTGTTAAATTGACATAGCAGCTTTCTGAAACAGACAGGAAACGGTTTCTGTCTTATTTTCTCTATTAATAGAAACTATTTTCTTCCATACAGGGTTTCCATTGCCTGTTATTACTAACCACCCATGTGGAAAAACAAACAAACAAAAAAACAGGAAGGCAAAGAGGGAAAAAAGCCCTAAAATTAAGCATGTAGTTTCAGCGTCATAAAGCAGGGCGTATGGAAAGCGATGAGTACACGCACAGAGCTCAATCTCGTGATCAGAAGAAGTTGCTCCAAGTGATCTGACAGTCACATTTCCCCTCTGAGAGGAAAAGAAAAGCATGAATAATTGTATCAGCTGTTTAAGTTTAGTTCCTAGCAGCAAAAAAGAGGAGTCTTCTCAGCTCCCAAATCAAAATTTATTTCTATTGCTACTTACAAGAATAAAATAAGCCAAACGGTTCTTCTCGGTGTTTCAAACTTGCCTTTTTCAAAGCACGATGTGCTCAAGATGAAGCAGAGCAGCTTCCAACACCGTTACCCTTCTCCACTTTGATCAGCGGCAACAGAGTTCACACTGACATTTAAACACTCAGAAGCAGAGTTACTAGCTCTTCTTGATGAATGAAGCATTGCATATTTCCCAGATATAGCTCTTCAGGCTGCCGCAGACCCACGCAGACACCAAGCATCCGTGCCTGCTGGCTCCCCAGCCTGTGTTTGCCTCTGTGAACACAGCCAGGGAATTTCCTGCATTTCATCCCAGACATGCAACAGGTAACATCACAAAGAAATCTGGGTGCGAGAAACCGTTATGACCTATCTCAAATCAAGCCTAGGCTCTCAAAGCTGCTGCTTTTCCTCATCTTACCCTACAATTTCAGGGTGAATCCAAGAGCTTACTACCTCTCTTTGCCAGAAAAGCCATGCTGCCTTGGGATGCTTAGCAGCTCACCTTATGAAAAAAAGGGCAGAAAGAGACCCATGGCACAATATGTACTTGCTAGAAACACACATGAAAGGGCAAGAGTCCTTCCTCAAGGTAAAAGTTCGCACTGGACACCAAGAGCTGCTAGACACAGGAAGAGCCAAGACTTGCGAGAAGCACTGAAGCTGGAATGCTGCCAACACCGGCAACAGCACTGCCTGCAGTCACAAGAAAAGGAAGCAAAATGAAGTGCTGAGAAGCTGCAACACGATCTGGAGGAGATAAACAACGACAGAGAGCAAACTCTTGACAGCAAGAGCCTAACTCCTTGAAAGAAATGCAAGACAACTAGCGCTTGCTGTGCCAAACAGGATTAGATTTTATTTCAAAATATGTGTGCCACGGGCATCGCCCTCCACATACGGACGCAATGCTACCCTTTGCTCTGAGACTCAGCTAAAGCCACCGCGCCACC